CCGTCTCTTGCTTTCACCTTCATCACGCTGTCATCCTCTGAGCAAGCAGCACTAAACTTTTCTGTGCTCTCATAACTCCTCAGCTTTGTTTTGAACTCCGTGAAAGTTATCGTTTCATCACTTTGGGTTATGTGGATGGAAAATAGCTTAAAAGAGTCCGGTAGGCCCTTCAGAACCATTGCAATCAACAAGCCATCACTTAAAGTCTCTTCCGCATTTCTCAAAGCTGTAATAGCGGTCTCTGCGCGAATGACATAATCTGTGACGCTCTCATTGACAGCTTTCTGAAGAGACGTAAGCTCTGTGTATAAGCTGATCACTCGTGGTTTCCCTTTACCAGCATAGTGTTCTCTCAGAATCTTTAGCGCCTTTCTTCCATCATCCGCTGCATCTCTCATCACAAGGGAAAGGCTTTTATCATCCAACAGCTGAATCAGTTCTGCATACGCGTCCTCATTTTTCTCCGCGTCTTCTTCTACACCGTCATCATCAGGTGGTTCGCTCAGTATGGTGCTCTTCAAACTGAGCAGACGCAGGTGCGCAAGAAACTTAGTTTCCCACAGTTCATACTTTTTCTCATCCCCGTCAAAACATAAACGGTTCCACCGGCTTCCAAACTCCTTCCTGGGCCCATAACCTGTTGAGTTCGCCATCATAACATAAAGGGTAGAAAACCGGCTAAAACATGACGGAGGAATAAACTCACGGAGCCATCGGGTTTCGTTTGACTGTCGTGCACACTCACACAGGAGCATGCAGTCATTTTATTAAATTGGAACACCTGAAAAACATTATGAACGAACCACACCCCTTAGACTCACACCCCCTTAGTCAACAGTCATAATAAGAGCACATTCAAGGTCACCAATGTTCAACACATACACTCACCGGCCACTTTATTAGGTACCCCATGCTAGTAACGGGTTGGACCCCCTTTTGCCTTCAGAACTGCCTCAATTCTTCGTGGCATAGATTCAACAAGGTGCTGGAAGCATTCCTCAGGGAGTTTGGTCCATATTGACATGATGGCATCACACAGTTGCCGCAGATTTGTCGGCTGCACATCCATGATGCGAATCTCCCGTTCCACCACATCCCAAAGATGCTCTATTGCAGTGGTTTTCAAACTTTTTCAAGAGGGACCCTTTTTTTTTTTTTTTTTTTTTTAGGCGACCCATAGGCTTGTGCGCAGAATTTTTTTCTTTAACCTTTCTTTAAGCACTTTTTTTAACCACTTTACTTTTGATGATGCACGTGCACTTGCTGATCCTTGACGTGATTGCAACGCAAAGTCGATTCTGAAATAATTTGATCAAGCTATAGGCCTACATACAGGACTTTTAACCAATAAATAGCTTATCATTTGCTGAATGCTTAAAAAGTACAAATACACAAAACATATTCCACAACAAACTCTTTAAATGTAATATTAATTATATACAGAACAAGAATAAAAAAATAACAACTAAACAAGCCAAAACGAAATAATTTAAAGGGAAAGTAAAAGGGGCATTATGCTCACGTAGCCTAACTCTCTCATTAGAATCAAAATATTTTAACATTCGCGATGTATTTGATGGTAAACTATTCTTTATTATAGGCGTTGTAGCAACTTCACTCACGTTGCAATATCGACAGTAAAAAAAAATCATCCTTTTCACATGCGCAAAAATGTGCTTGGAAACATCACAGTTGAGCGGTGCTTACGCTGAATGGTACGAATTGACTATTTAAACAGAGCAGTGTGATTTTTATATTAGGTTGACTATTTTATTGTCATATTTTTATTTCGGCTATAATGAACAGGCTGCGATGTCAAGCCTGGAATGGTGTATTGTGTGTGTGTGTGTGTGTGTGTGTGTGTGTGTGTGTGTGTGTGTGTGTGTGTGTGTGTGTGTGTGTGTGTGTGTGCGTGTGTTTGTGTGTGTGTGTTTGTGTGTGTGTGTGTGTTTGTGTGTGTGTGTTTGTGTGTGTGTGTGTGTGTGAGGCGCGGCACTGGGAACAAAAAATATAGGCTACTCCGTCGTTCATACAGGACATCATTCAAACTGCAAAGTGTTTATTTATACTTGTGTACACTCGACACAACATTGTTAAAACACAACATTGTGGTTTTGTCAAACTGTAAACTCTTGTCAAACTTAACTGTCACCCAACCAAAATCACACACAATTTAAAAGCAAACTTATTTATAATTCAAATGAGAATAGGGCTGTCAACGAATATTCTAAATTCGAATAGGCCTATATCGAATAGTTTTAAAAAACAGAATTTCGAATGTGAAAATTAATATTTGAATGTGGAAAAACACGCCCGCGGTATCAGAGGCGCGGCTGTCTGCTTTGCGAGTGGGCGCTGAGGGATCAGGGACAGGTCACAAGAGTCGCACTGGCACAGCTGAAAGTTTTTTATTTCTTATTCTTATTTATTGCATGAATAAGGTAGGTTAGATACAGCAGTTCCATGCATCGCAGGCTTCACTGGTTTGATTATTTACCGTTTCATGTCAAGGAAAAGTTCCATGTTTACCACAGCACAGCTCGCTCGGGGCGTTCAATGTCGGTTCTTTAAAACTTCAATTAATGTTAATAATATTTGTTTCAATCACTGAATGAAGCCTGCTATATTTGGGACAAGAGTCGCGGCCTTACATTGCTTGCACAAAACTCTTGATCAGCACTCAACATTTGTTTATCGTTGTTGTTGTTCATTTAAACCGTTATGGGCAGAGAGCGTGAGGTGAGGGAGAGAGAGAGAGAAAGAGTGCCTAGCGAGAGTGAGGTCTGCGGTCTTGGCCATTAGTTGATTTAGGCTACTTGTTTTTGTGTAGGTAATACGTTGTCAAATATGTTTAAACTTAAATAAACTACCTAAACAAGTAGTTATGTCTCTTTGTATTAATTTGACCTGTTATTGACGTAATGCGCGTCATTGACAAAATGCACAACCAGATGTTCGAATAGTTCGAATATAGCCTATGTGTTTTTTAAGAGGGATTTTTTAGAACGTAATTTTTGAGTAGCCTAATTTTGACAGCCCTAGGAAGGAACGACGAGTGTTAGTGTGTTGTTGCCGATGGAGCGAACGTGTGTGTGTTGCGGGTGGAGCGAACGAGTGCGTGTTTTGTGTATATTAATGAGAAGGGCCTGCTTATTCTGCATAATCTGGTCCCAAGCCGGTTCGCAGGACGAGAGGGCAACACGCATGTCAGGAGAAGCATTCAGTTTGTTTCGTTGTTTCAAAGCTATTATTATTAATATTAATTTAATTAGAAAACGGAATTTTTTTTTTAAATCACTGGCGACCCATTTTTTAATTCTCGCGACCCACCCGAGGGTCGCGACCCAGGGTTTGAAAACCACTGCTCTATTGGGTTGAGATCTGGTGACTGTGGGGGCCATTTTAGTACAGTGAACTCATTGTCATGTTCAAGAAACCAATTTGAAATGATTAGAGCTTTGTGACATGGTGGAAGTAGCCATCAGAGGATGGGTACATGGTGGCCATAAAGGGATGGACATGGTCAGAAACAATGCTCAGGTAGGCCGTGGCATTTAAACGATGCCCAATTGGCACTAAGGGGCCTAAAGTGTGCCAGGAAAACATCCCCCACACCATTACACCACCACCACCAGCCTGCACAGTGGTAACAAGGCATGATGGTTCCATGTTCTCATTCTGTTTACGCCAAATTCTGACTCTAACATCTGAATGTCTCAACAGAAATCGAGACTCATCAGACCAGGCAACATTTTTCCAGTCTTCAACTGTTCAATTTTGGTGAGCTCTTGCAAATTGTAGCCTCTTTTTCCTATTTGTAGTGGAGATGAGTGGTACCCGGTGGAGTCTTCTGCTGTTGTAGCCCATCCGCCTCAAGGTTGTGCGTGTTGTGGCTTCACAAATGCTTTGCTGCATACCTCGGTTGTAACGAGTGGTTATTTCAGTCACTGTTGCCCTTCTATCAGCTCGAACCAGTCTGGCCATTCTCCTCTGACCTCTGGCATCAACAAGGCATTTCCGCCCACAGAACTGCCGCTCACTGGATGTTTTTTCTTTTTCGGACCATTCTCTGTAAACCCTAGAGATGGTTGTGCGTGAAAATCCCAGTAGATTAGCAGTTTCTGAAATACTCAGACCAGCCCTTCTGGCACCAACAATCATGCCACGTTCAAAGTCACTCAAATCACCTTTCTTCCCCATACTGATGCTCGGTTTGAACTGCAGGAGATTGTCTTGACCATGTCTACATGCCTAAATGCACTGAGTTGCCGCCATGTGATTGGCTGCTTAGAAATTAAGTGTTAACGAGCAGTTGGACAGGTGTACCTAATAAAGTGGCCGGTGAGTGTATATGTTCAAGCATTCAGAATTATAGCCATGTTAATAAGGTTTGTAAGAAACCAAACCGTTTGTAAATCCGTCAAGATTTCAGCGAGATAAGAGGATTTGTGTTCATGCTGATCACTCATCTTACATCAGAGCCTGCCTGTGACCAGATGGCCGAACGGTGATGCCGGAAGTGACTCCGCCGTAAGACATCCAGCCTTTATTATATGATATCTATGGTTATACATAGCCTACTAATACAACAATGAGCGACTTCGTTATTACTTTTAACCTTTTTGGAGAATTTGACATAAAATACGTTAGCTTTCTGGCTCGTAAGTTAGCTAAACTGAAGGGCTCTACGAGCTGAGCGGACTAAAACCGTCAGGCGTAACCAGGGAAACCAAGTTATGGTTTGTAAAAACTTTAGATTTCGATTGTAAAACTAATTAAAATATAAACTAATGTTTTAAAAAGGTGTTATTTGGCAAGTGACCATGGTATAAGCGGGTTAATGCCCTTCGAGATCTCCATTGTCTAGGTAATAATGGACTTCGGCGGAGGCAACCGTCCGTCGCGCGCCTCGCCGTCGCCCATGAATACCTGACAATGGACACCTCGAAGGGCATTAACCCTTACATATAAATAATACTAAAATAACATTAGAGACGTACCACTGATGTCATTTCCTGAGTCAGATTCCCACTGTAGAACTCTGAGATTCCATTGGCTGCAATCTTGTCCAAAATGGCCGCTAGATCCAGACGTTTAGCGAGGAGTCCCGCGAGTGGAGCCTGACCGCTAGGCAGGAACAGATCTCTGAAAGCGTCCGACACATTCTGCTCCTTCACTTTAGACAACGCATCAGCTGGGGAAAGATGAAGGAAGTTACACCAACCTGCTTCAAATTCAGCATAAAAACTAAACTGACACGTTTACTTTTCTTGCTACACATTCTTCCGAATTTCTTTTCGGCTGACATCTCGAAGCCACTTACTTTTCAAGCCTGCATACTATGGTTGTCAAATGTACTGCTAGTAACGAGGCCAAGCAACAAAAAAAAAAAAAAAAAAAAAAAAAAAAAAAGTTGACGAGCGCTTGTTTGAGTGCTTTCTAAGCCACATAAGTTTCTATTTACAGTGGCTACAATGCTCAGCGCTTGTAAAAACACAATCACAAACACATCTGTTGAGCACATGAACGCACTGGCCAATCAGAGGTGATAGTCAGTAAGTTAGTCAGAATCCACTCAACTCTGAAAACGCACAAGGTGTTTTGTTCAACGGGAGCCGCACACTCACAAATCCTTTCATTATAAGCCTACCAACGAAGTGTAAACAACACCATGTAAATACGAGATGCATTTTACAATCAAGACAGCTTTTTTTATTATAACGTGAGTTTCTGCAGGAGTGTAGAATTCAGTGAGCTTGTGTTTTAGAGATTGACAGCCTCAAGTCTTCTCTTGCTTGCCGGTTATTACCCATTTACAATCTGAATACAACTTTAGTTTTTCAAGCTGCTTAGTACACTGCGAAGTTTCTGGATCGACAGCCGTATTTAAATGTGTGACTGAGTCAGAAACTGCGATGAATGACAGTAATAACCATCGGATAGGACAAAATGGGAATAAAAAAAAAGTACATTATTCAACAGTTTTTGCTCTGGTATCGAAATTAGCACAGAGAACCGCAACATTTTACTGGTATTGGTACCGACTACTGTAATTTTTGTACCGTAAAAACCCTATAGACCTGTCCTGTAGTAGACTTCAGGCATGCGTGTCACGTGTGTGTGTCACGTGTGTGTGTCGCGTGCTCACCCAGCTCGTGCGTAACGTTGAATCCATCCCTCGCCACGTCTGCAGCCGAAGTGATGACGTCTTTCCACGACAGTCTAGAGAAGGGCGAACACGCACCACGGTCAAGCTGTTTTTCCATCATTTAAAGTGACAATTGATACAAATATGAAAAATGATTCTCTATTACTCAGTAAGACGTCTACTACTTCAAGTGGGTGCACAGTAGGATCTATAGGACCTTAAAATTGTCCACAATATCCCAAAACCACAAGTAGAAGTCTTATTTCCAGTGGCATAAAATGCCTAGACAAGTCATACAAGTTAGCAATCTAATTTTCTTCTTTAAGAATAGTTATACCTTTTTAATTCTGTTCCTTTAAAACATGCAGTCACGGGCAAAAAGGGTCCATTGTCTACTGTCAATAGTGTAGCGATGTATGAGGCACAGCTCTCACAGAAGACACTTGCAAACAAAGCAGCTTTCTGTTGGTCAACACAGCGAATCTGTGTGAGCAACATGAACTTGTTGCTAAATATGCGTGTGGAAATCTTTCAGCCCAGAGTGACATTCCCAAATCATGTGATTTCCTAACTCCACATTGGACTGGATTTATAACAGAAAACACCAGCCTGAAACACCCGTTTGTAGTTCTGCCATTATTTCTGTGACGTAGCTGCGTCACCATGTAACACATCTCCATAATACCCGCCCCTTTGTACTTATGGTTTATTATCAAAAATTATGACCATTAAAATACCAGCCTAATGACTGATATAATAATGAGAAGGATGACGTGTAGTTTCAGTCTGCTGCCTCAAATGAATTACACAGACATGGCAAAACAAATGAAAATAACCAATAAAACACAGACCTACAACACACCCATTATTCAGACAAATGGAGTTGGGGGGACTTTTTTTTAACTATAAACCCATGACAACAAAGTACTGTTTATATAAATACTCCATCCTGTTATCACATTCATGATCAGACATATCGCTGTATAATGCACATATATATTTCATTTTAAGAAGTTATGACAGAATATGCATGACAGTCTGGGCAATTGACCAATCAGAGCAGAGTAGACCAATCACAGCAGACTGGGCCATCTGACCAATCAGAGCAGAGTAGACCAATCACAGCAGACTGGGCCATCTGACCAATCAGAGCAGAGTAGACCAATCACAACAGACTGGGCCATCTGACCAATCAGAGCAGAGTAGACCAATCACAACAGACTGGGCCATCTGACCAATCAGAGCAGAGTAGACCAATCACAGCAGACTGGGCCATCTGACCAATCAGAGCAGAGTAGACCAATCACAACAGACTGGGCCATCTGACCAATCAGAGCAGAGTAGACCAATCACAACAGACTGGGCCATCTGACCAATCAGAGCAGAGTAGACCAATCACAACAGACTGGGCCATCTGACCAATCAGAGCAGAGTAGACCAATCACAACAGACTGGGCCATCTGACCAATCAGAGCAGAGTAGACCAATCACAGCAGACTGGGCCATCTGACCAATCAGAGCAGAGTAGACCAATAACAACAGACTGGGCCATCTGACCAATCACAACAGACTGGGCCACCCGACCAATGAGAGAAGAGTAGACCAATCACAGCAGACTGGGCCACCTGACCAATCAGAGCAGAGTAGACCAATCACAACAGACTGAGCCATCTGACCAATCAGAGCAGAGTAGACCAACCACAACAGACTGGACCATCTGACCAATCAGAGCAGAGTAGACCAATCACAGCAGACTGGGCCATCTGACCAATCAGAGCAGAGTAGACCAATCACAACAGACTGAGCCATCTGACCAATCAGAGCAGAGTAGACCAACCACAACAGACTGGGCCACCTGACCAATCAGAGCAGAGTAGACCAATCACAACAGACTGAGCCATCTGACCAATCAGAGCAGAGTAGACCAACCACAACAGACTGGACCATCTGACCAATCAGAGCAGAGTAGACCAATCACAGCAGACTGGGCCATCTGACCAATCAGAGCAGAGTAGACCAATCACAACAGACTGGGCCATCTGACCAATCAGAGCAAAGTAGACCAATCACAACAGACTGGGTCATCTGACCAATCAGAGCAGAGTAGACCAATCACAGCAGACTGGGCCATCTGACCAATCAGAGCAGAGTAGACCAATCACAGCAGACTGGGCCATCTGACCAATCAGAGCAGAGTAGACCAATCACAACAGACTGGGCCATCTGACCAATGAGAGCAGAGTAGACCAATCACAGCAGACTGGGTCATCTGACCAATCAGAGCAGAGTAGACCAATCACAGCAGACTGGGCCATCTGACCAATCAGAGCAGAGTAGACCAATCACAACAGACTGGGCCATCTGACCAATGAGAGCAGAGTAGACCAATCACAACAGACTGGGCCATCTGACCAATCAGAGCAGAGTAGACCAATCACAGCAGACTGGGTCATCTGACCAATCAGAGCAGAGTAGACCAATCACAGCAGACTGGGCCATCTGACCAATCAGAGCAGAGTAGACCAATAACAACAGACTGGGCCATCTGACCAATCACAACAGACTGGTCTACTCTTCTCTCATTGGTCGGGTGGCCCAGTCTGTTGTGATTGGTCAGTTGGCCCAGTCTGTTGTTATTGGTCTACTCTTCTCTCATTGGTCGGGTGGCCCAATCACAGCAGACTGGGCCACCTGACCAATCAGAGCAGAGTAGACCAATCACAGCAGACTGGGCCATCTGACCAATCAGAGCAGAGTAGACCAATCACAACAGACTGGGCCATCTGACCAATCAGAGCAGAGTAGACCAATCACAGCAGACTGGGTCATCTGACCAATCAGAGCAGAGTAGACCAATCACAGCAGACTGGGCCATCTGACCAATCAGAGCAGAGTAGACCAATCACAGCAGACTGGGTCATCTGACCAATCAGAGCAGAGTAGACCAATCACAGCAGACTGGGTCATCTGACCAATCAGAGCAGAGTAGACTGGGCTTTTTGGAAGGATGGGCTTTAAAGAGATCTACAGAGCATTTCAGGCAGAAGGTGAAAAGAGGAATTGCTATACCTTCCATACAGCTGATGAGCCTGGTGCAGTCCACTGATCATGCCTGGGACAGCCACGGTCAGACCCGACTAACAGACACAGAGAGACACATCAGCGCCTGCAGAACAGCACACTGCAGAGACTGTGTTTGTGAAAACACTTGCACTTATTGATTTGCTTCGGATTTTTAACATCATCATATGACGCACATTAAGCCAAGATGAAAGCAGATCAAAATAAAGCTTTACCCTTTGATGAACATTTATCATCATGTCCTCGTGAATACCAGAGGGTGCCATCTCACGGAAGTCAATGACCCGGCTCTCGTTATTCCGGATGTCATGGATGAGCATCACGCCACCGCTGAGAAGAAAGCATGATAGAGTCACTCACTGTTGTTGATGAATCACCCACAAAATCAGTTTCTCCATCCCTGCACACATGCCTCCTCGCAGAGCTCTCTTTAAGCCTCCGGGGATCTTAGGACGAATTGAATTTCCCAGTTATTTCTGATTTACTGCAGGGGGATTTCTTTTTTAAAAATCCTTTAACAGAGATTTCTGGCTAGACTTTTGAAATAATATTTAAACAATTATAATCAAGGAGACATTGCACTCAGTTTCTCATTGATTTCTCAGCAAGTTCTACTTTAGACAAACATTACAGAGTAAGAGATATGCAAAATATTTTACAACGGAGAGCAAAAAGGAAAATTCCTCAGAAACTTCTTAAGATTTTGCTCATTTCTATTACCTTTCCAGTGCAAAATACAATTCCCTGACAGTGGGAACCCGGTTTCTACTTTTCTTAAGCTCGTAATCTTAAAAGGGATAGTTCACCCAAAAGTGGAAAATCTGTCATCATTTACTCACGCTCATGTCGTTCCAAACCCATAAGACTTTTGTCCATCTTCGAAACACAAATGAAGTTACACCAAAATTTTACACTTGAAAAAGTTCATAAAGGCATTGTAAAACTGCTCCATTCATATGGATTAGTTTAATCCAGGACTTCTGAAGAGACACGATTGCTTCATATGTTAGACGTTTTGAGCTTCTATTAACCAATTATCATTTTGGGGTAAACCAACCCTTTAAAGTTTAGATAAAGAAAGCAGAAGATCATTTATTAGAAAGCAGAAGATCATTGATCATTTCTCCACAACAAACTCATTGCTTCACACAGAGAACTTGTCTTTGTTGTTTTGTTTTGGTTGTTTGCTGTTGTGTTTCATTGCCTGTCCACTATGTAAAGCGACCTTGGGTTTGTGAAAGGCGCTATATAAAATAAACTTATTATTAAAGCCAGTACTTAAAAGGATAGTTCACTTTGAAATACATTTTTGGTATGTTTTAGCTTACCTCAAGGGCATCCAAGATGTAGGAGTCTTTGTTTCCGCAGTAGTTTCAATTTTTGATATTTTTAGGTCAAACCGTTCTTGTCTGTCAGTCATATAATGCAGGTCTATGGTCACCACCTCAAAGAGCATGCACAGAGAAGTCCAAATTAAACATGATTTAATGACTCGTAAATGTAAGCACTCATTGATGGCCTAAGACACGAAACGAGCGGTTTGTGTGAGAAAACGAACAGTATTTATATCGTTTTTACACCTTGTAACGCACAGACCGAAGCGCCCGCGCCCGCGCCGGCGCCCTCAGATCACTTGGACGTGGCTGTGTTTACAAGAGGTAAACGATATAAATACTGTTCGTTTTCTCACACAAACCGCTCGTTTCGTGTCTTAGGCCATCAATGTGTACTTACATTTACGAGTCATTAAATCATGTTTAATTTGGACTTCTCTGTGCATGCTCTTTGAGGTGGTGACCATAGACCTGCATTATATGACTGACAGACAAGAACGGTTTGACCTAAAAATATCAAAAATTGAAACTACTGCGGAAACAAAGACACCTACATCTTGGATGCCCTTGAGGTAAGCTAAAACATACCAAAAATGTATTTCAAAGTGAACTATCCCTTTAAGCACAAAGCTCGTACCCGCCGATGCCCGAGGCGTGGGGGTGGATGATGCCCAGGCAGAGGGAGGCGGCGATGGCAGCGTCCACGCTGGACCCGTGTTTGCCCAGGACGTCGAAGCCGAGAGACGTGCAGCGGGCCACATCAGACACCACCGCGGCCTGACTGTACACCTGAGGGAAGCGGTCACACAGGGGCGGAGGCTTTATTGGAATAGAAGCTGGAATTTATCCTCCACCAGCCAAAAAAGTAAACGTTTGATTGGACAAAACAGTAATAGCACACCTTTTCTCAATGAGCAAATCAATTTGACGCATCATTCACTGAAAACTACCAAGCCCACCAACTACCGTACTAACTCTGTTTACCTTTGGCTAACACTAACAAAAAACTGCCAAACTTGTTTTTCTTTGGTTTAAAATAAGAAAAAACTACAGATCTTAACAACTACTGACCCCGTTTACCTTTGGTTAAAACTAAAACTAAAAAATAACTAACCCTACCAACTCCCAACCGTTTACCTTTGATTAGCACTTTAAAAAAAAAAACTAACCCCACCAACTACCAACTCTTACCTTTGATTAATGCGCTGAAAAAACTACCAACCCTGCTTGCCTTCATTAACATAAAAAAATAAAAAGACTAAACCCTTACTAAACACCTAATTTAAGGATACTTCTAACCCTGGCAGCATACAGATACAAATCATTAAACCAATCATTTATTACAATTTAAATACGTATACAACTCTGGTTTGTTTTAAATCAGTGCTTTGTATCATTGGCCACCGGTTCCCGAGTTGGGATGCCTTTCCAGGAAGGCTGTGTGTGGCAGTGTGTGAGCGCACCTGTGGGTCCCCGAAGTAGATCTGCATGATGAGGGCCACGGTGACCCCGGTGGCGAAGGTCAGGCAGGCAGTGATGATGACGGTCAGGCCGTCCCGTGTGCACGCGCACTCCTGCGCCAGCGGGTCTCTGGTGGTCTCTCTCAGGGGAGAGATGTCGTGCCGGGCCAGGTCCGAGGCGGAGGAGGGCAGCCGCTGCAGCCGGGCCGAGTTCAGGAACAGATCCGGCTCTATGAGAGACAGCAGTCGAGGCAAGGCACCTTCATTTACACAGCGCTTTTAACAATGTAGATTTGTTTCAAAGCGGCTTTACAGTGATAACAGGAGATTACAGTAACAGAGATTGTTTGGGCTTTACAGCAGCTCTAGAATAAAGTTATTGTCCAGCTAAAGTTAGTTTTGATTGATTCACTTCCGTTGCAAAGATCATTAGTTGTTAAAGCAACACCAAGTAGCTTTTCCTCTGCGGTCGCCCTACAGGTTGGGAGTGGAATTGTCCATTACCGCTGTCGTAAATAATTTAGCCTAGCGCAGCCGACTGTCGCACGCACGCTCGCCCTTTATCCAGCGCCGGCTTTGGAATGAACGATGTCCACAGACAAGCTAGATAATAATATCAAAAATAACAACAAAATAATGACTATTGTAACGCTTGACGTAAAGCAAGTCAAATTTGTAGTTTTCTTATGTCTCATTAGAACTACAGAAACTCGACCCGATCTGGCATTCTTACATAGCGTGGTTATAGCAGATAAAGGAGTGCAAAGCGAATCCAGAAGTGCCTTTCACCCTGTTACGACTTAATGAACCACTGAAACGGTGGTAAAACATCTTACTTAGTGTTGCTTTAACTTAACACGACACCGTTCTAACAGAGAACCTTTAATGCGCTCCGGCCTGTCCATCTGCACGACAGTGCCTGGCGGATCGAGAACGCAAACCTTGAAATAGGTTCCAAGGTGCAAGCGTTGACATTTTTTAAAAACGTTATCATCTTTGCGTGAACTACAAAAACGCAAATCTGTGAAAACGCTGACGGCGTGCACATGTGTATTAGTCTATATGCGCGTTTGAATGTGTGCGCAGCCATGTAGTCTTTCTTTACAAATTGACCTCAACAAACCTCCTGCCTGGCCTTAAAAATGTATAATTGTATTATTCGCTTCCACGTGTCCATGCGAACTGGAATTATTTTGACAATGTTTTCTCTGTACAGAGGAAAAGGGAAGGAGGCCTTCCCAGGGAGACACTGGGTGACACTTCAGGTTACGGGTGACCGCATCAGACGCATTCACTCACCCGTGTCCTGCTCACTGAGGAAGTTATCGTCGTCTTTGCGCGATTTGAAGGCGTTGTCGGCGGAGGCATCATCTTCCGGGAGTCTGGGGAAGCTGGTGATGCTCATGTAGTCCACAGGGGAGTACGCACTGGTCAGAGCCGGATCCTTCTCTACCACGGTCACTCCCGTCTCGGCTGCCGGAGCGTACATGCTTCTTCTGAAACCACAGACCGTCTGCCTTCAGCACGCTGGAAACTCACTTTCCCAGGCCAAAACCCAGAACGATTTAGCATCTGAGCACTTACGATTCCAGCGCCCTGAAGTCATTGACTTATTTTGAACCTTTTTTTGGGGGTTTTAAATCAAATGTCTGGAATAAGGTCTGTGGTGAACACAAGCTCAAGATATTTTCACATTTCATTCTACAACATCAAATACATCAATAATACCATCTTGTGATTTATTAATGCTTTTGCTTTCTGTAGAGCTGCTTTATAGCTGAATTGAATTTGTTTCATAATTGATGAACATTAACACTGTTATTAAACTGAACTAAATAATGACGTTATTGTTTCCTCTTTTAAAGAGCCGCTTTACAGTTGAAATAGTAGTTGAAATTATTTCAGAATCGATGGATTTTGAAACAAAGGGTTAGTTCACCCAAAAATGAAAATTATACCATAATTTACTCACCTTCAAAAGAGCCTTGCTAGGTGTATATGACATTGTTCTTTCAGCCAAACACAATCAGAGTTATATTACAGTTTTGTGAACACAGATTTTGAAAAAAAAAATGTTCACAAAAAAATATGCTTGACATATTATGACAACTTGTTCAACCATTTTGCATAAAGACTTAAAGGCTGTGAACTAATGCCTAAATGTTGTGGGGGGTGAGACTATTCAACAGAGACCCATTATATTACATTTTGATCAACATGACATAAGCAATTGATACAGCAGAGAATTGTACATAATCATTTGCATGGATGTACTAAAGCATTTGCAACTTTTTTTGATGTGCACAAGTGACACGATGATGTGAAGATTAAACAGTTAGTTTTGAGAATTTCAATTCAATTCTGATCTGAAGTGACTGAGAAAAAAAAAAAAAAAAAAAAAAGACCTTGAAAATGACTCTTCCGAGCTTTACAATGGGAGTGAATGGAGTTTTGAAGCCCATAAAAGCACATCCATCCATCATAACAGTATTCCACACGACTCCAGGGGGTTAATAAAGGCCTTCTGGAGCAAAGCCATGCGTTTGTGTAATATAACTCAGGTTGTGTTTGGCTGAAAGAAGAAAGTCATATACAGGATGGCTTGAGGGTGAATAAATTATGGGATAATTGTCATTTTTGGGTGAACTAAAACTTTAGCATTACTTACCTGTTTATTAAAACTACACAAATAAATGTAAAAAAAAAAAAGCTCTAGTGATTCATCCGGGATAAACAGGATTTTTTCGGCCTCATGTCGACCTATTTGCCTTAGTTTGACTGCATGTTTATCCATAATTATGGGTATCTGACACGCAACTCTTCGCCTAAAACTATTTTACACATTGCTTCTCCTTTTATCAATATCAGGTATGCATTTTATATGACAACTTACAGATAGACTACATAAAAAAAAATGTCTCATTAAATGTCACAAAGTTCAAATAAACTAAGAGCTAATTTCACTATGTTGATTTAAAAAAAAATATATACGTTTTTAAATGCATTTTGTAAACCGTCCCTTTTATTATAACTATAATGACCATTGCATTCACAGTGATTTAGCACAAACCTCTAACGGGTCATTCTAACTATTTGGTAGGCTACCATTTCAGCTTGGTAACTTCCTATAAAAGATTTTTTTTTTTTTTTTTAATTTCCACAATTTAATAATTTTATCTGAAAAAGGTATTGTTACACTACAAGAAAAATATATTGGTCCAGTTTAGGATATTATTCTTTAATAATTTTGACCAAATTCTTCACACAGGCCTGTAAGAGGACATTCGCATCTCAATTAATAAGTATTGAATGCACAGTTATTGTAAAAATTTACGTTTTCCAAGAGCTAAAATTTCCCTCCCTTGTAACCTTGCAAATGTATTTAACAAGGTGTTGAACAAGCATTATCTTGAAAAACTGATTAAAAAAAAAAAATCACAATTCAACACTTCTAGAATGACATGATCACAGGCCTCCATATGTCGAAGTAATGAGGGCCTGGCTGACGATGCTCGTTTAGCTAATATCTACACAGCATCGCCCGATATCCAGAAAGAAACAATTTGTCATGGATAGTCTCTCTCTAGGCTATAATAAAACACTCCGTCATACCAGATAGCAGAGATAAGATGCGCGTATGAAGAGCTGGCGCTTCCTGGATGAATCAGTTCCCCGTCACAATATCACTGTTGTGTTACAGATCACATCCGAACAGATCACAGAATAACCAGTGTCGAGTGAAATACATCTGCGTTCGGGTTCATCCGTCAAAACACACGACAAACCGGAGCGCGCGCGTTCAACGCGACATCGACTAATTTCCATCCATGTGTATTATTATTTCCCATCCGTGACTCGGAGGTCAGAGCTGCGTCTTGTAAACATACACCTGATTTATTCACACACTCGCTGTTTTCACACGGATACGGAGCAGAAAACCTGAAGGATCAGCTGACATGTTAACGCGATGTTAAAGACGCAGGTGTGCGCGTTTCACGCGTTCAAAATACCAAGACAAAACACAACACAAAGGTCTTGGCATGTTTAAAACGGCCAAAGACGCCCGTCTGACGTAGCCTATATTAGCCATTATTAATAGCAATAATGTTTTAAATGCAGCCTTTCCATACTTACAGGTGAAACGTGCGGTTCCGCTCCTTTCTCACATATTAGTCCTGGTGAACAAGTGCAATTATTTCTTTAAATGAATCACACACTGCGCATGCGTCACACCTTATGAAGAGACGCTGATCCTGCAGAACAGGTTCATCAATCAACCAGGAGAAGGGGTGTGTGTGTGTGTTTGTAACACATGTATGTCAAACACACTGAGGTTTTTCCGAATAATGAACAATGTGGGTGTGATAATTAAGTTTACACTGTAGCTAACCCTTATTTTTATGTGTAGCAGACAACGCAAACAAACTTGTAGGCTACTATACCATGGTAGTATTGTGGTATTCTTTGAAATGTCTCCATAAGAAACTTTTTGTGAGGTTTTATCTTATTTGTTGATTTTTTAAAAACATTTATAGAGAGAGAGGCTTTTATTTTTTGTTCTATTGTATCACAGTTAGATTTATGACAGTTGTCATTAGCTATTTTCAAGTCAAGTGGATGAAGATGAAGAAATAAGCACAAAGGTGAATAATGAGTCCAGATTGCAGTTGCATCCTGAGTGTTTATTGTTATTGTCTGGTACCTGCATTTCTGAACGGATGCTGGAAACCCATCATAGTATTTTGCATAGGTCTCTGATGCCCATGTCGTATGGATGAAACAGTCGGCACATCATGAAAACCATGCAGAATAGTGAAAGGCACAATCACCATAGATATCATAGACACCAATCTTTATAATAGGCCTACTCTATTTTTGTACTTTGTTACTAAGGTGAACATCTCTTCTAAATAACAATATGAGGAAAAATACAAGCATATTTTATTTTTGTCGTTTTTTTTCTCATTTCATGTTTTCAGTCAATCCTCCCTTAAATCACAATAACTATACTCGCTTCCACCAGCCTCTCATGAGGCCTAACGGACATCATTCTATAGTCCCACAGATTAAATTAATCATATTGAACACACACACACACACACACACACAGAGAGAGAGAGAGAGAAATAACACGGAGTATACAGTGCCCGGCTGTGACGGTGAACAACAGAGGTGGATCTCTTCAGAGGGCAGAGATCACTGATTTTATGTTCATTACGCGATATTGCCTTGTCCACTTCATCTAATACATAGAAACAATGCGAAGAGAAGGCGACCTTCGAGTGGACGATGTTAAGGACCCTTGTAAGGCTAGGGCATTGGATTTTTCTAGATGCACCACTGACATTCGTACTGCTCTCTCTGTAGAGTCAATATGATGAAAAATCAGTCCATTTCAAATGAAAACAAAGAAATAAAAGCATATAGATTTACATTATACTTACATTATTTTGTTAAGAGATAGCTAACTACAATAATAGATTTACAGATTTTGGCAGGTGATAGGAAAGACTACAAGAATAATTCTTAAAATGATTAAATGACAGGAGAAATAAAGAACATTGCATGTAAAATCAAATAATGTAACAACAGTGGTATCGACAACATGGCAAATGTTGGTTTGTTTATGTAAAATACCCAGCAGACGGAAGTGTACTCAAGTTTTTGGAGCAACATACGATTAAACGATACCATGAAAACAGGAAGGTGATGTTTCGAAACGCAAACACTGAACTGTAAATAGATTGCAATTATATACATTTGAATGCAACTAATTGTTCACCTCTTAAGGTATAGCTTTTTTCCCCAACTCATGCATGTTGGAATGGCATCTCATTCACCAACGCAAACGAAAACATACCGCTAAATACCATGATTCTCCATAAAACGTATGACAGTGCAAACTTCTCAAAGTCTCAAAAAATTTACAAACAGTCATATAATTATATACTTTCAGCACCATTGTTAGTCTATTCATTGCTGAATACACACATAAGATAGATCACAATGTGGTGGACGCATTTCCTGTAAATGTGCTGACATTTTAGGATAGTTAGTGTGATTGCATGTGCGCCGAGTCCGTCACAAGAGAGACGCTGACCCAACAACCTCTGACAGGCAAACATCAGAGTGCATTGAAGATGTAAATCACAATCATATAAATCAATTTAAGAGGCATGATGAAATGCAAATAATGACATCGTCTGAAAACGGATGAATTGAGTAACAGAGAAATGGTCATAAGATTTCGGTCTTTGTTTCTGTGGTCACAGTGATTTCTCACACAAGCGTTACGTGCGGGACAAGGGAACTTTCGAGCCTTTTTTTGCTACACTGAAAATTATTTATTTAATTACTTATTCTTTGTTTTCCTTTTCATTTTGAGGTCATTTTAAGATTCTTGACTTTTTTTTTTTTGTAAGAGTCACCCATCAATAATCCTCCACAAAGCAAAATAAACAGTCATAATCTATACTCTCCTGCACATTCTATACACGATTATATCTATAGCCTATGGCAACCTCTGCTCGGTTCTATATGTTGATCATGTGACCTGTAAAGACATTGCACACTGCCCCGATACTCCCGCAATCTTTCCCTATTAGATCAGATGTTGACAGGGAGCTATAATTCAGCTTCACAACACATTTTAGGAAAATGCCAAACAGCTATATCCCTAAAAGATCACTGAAAAATAATAATTAATCTAGTGTTGTTGGCATAGTATCGGTCCCGTCCAAGATGGGCCCACCCTCAGTTTAACAACAGGCTCGGTTACAAAATCTAGGGAGCTAGATTACTTAAGAAGCTGCCTCAAGAGACTCCATTTCAGTAAAGTTAGCATGTTGCTTAGCTAATCCAAGGCAACACTAATAAACACAAATGCATGGTACACATACATATTGGGTGAAAATATCTATTTTTAAATACACTGGGGTATTCCTTACCATGCAGAGTATGTATAGAATTGACGCTGCCTGCTTTCTCCACCAATTTGTTTTCCCTGTAACTGACTTCTCTAGGAAGGGTTCTGCCTTTGCAGGAGCACACCTATGAAATTTGTTCCCTAACAGATGTCATATAATAGCAAGCAATGAAATTAAATTGTTTGGGAGTTGAATTACTTTTGAGATTTAGCACCATAATGTTGAAAATCAGGCAGCAACATCTACTTTGAAATGACCTCTTAGCAAACATATTCCACTATATTTGTCTTGCTCTCTAAACTCTCAACTGCTTTTATCTGTTTAATTCTTGTTCACACTTTTATCTACATACTTTTCATTCTTGTTGTTTTCAAGTGACTCTTTCGTTGCTGTAGGACTTTACTAAATTACATTACTAGGTACAATTCTCTTCTGGAAATCTTAAGCCCAAAGTATACGTTGGCTGTACGCGTTCCCTGATGGTGGACGGTGCACGTACAACGGCACGTGTGTGAGTGATTTAAGCGCTTGAATACAAAAGTCCACTAGATAGTGCGCATGCGCCGAACGCACCTTTCCATGCTCACGACCAAAGAGTACACTTTGAAAGGCTCAGAGCGTAACACAGAAAGTGAAGTATACCCAGGGCTTTAGGGTAAATGCGTTCAATGTTTGGCTCTTTTTTTCCTGCTAACTAAAAACAAATGTGAAAAAGGAACCTCATTATATTTCAACAAACAGCGCTGATGTACCTGAAGTGTCAGTGTTATACATTTAGAGGGATGTTGTACAGAGTTTACATGTCTCCTTTTCTGCTATACTCCCAGATTGAAAAACTTTTTCTCCAACTTGGGAAACAGATTTAGGTGTTACAAGGACACACAGGAGGTACATGGCATTTAAGCAAATATACGGATCATCTTAGAGTAATTGTGCTTTGTGGTGGCCTGCCTGCCAGATACGAGTGAGAAGAGGATAAAGATAAACTGGCTTGTGTTCAAGGACAAACCTGATTAATATGAAACTGAATAACATTATGGACGTAAAACGAGTGAAAGCAATAGGAGGACTTTAGAGGACATTTGAGAAGGAGGGGGATTCATTGGTAGGTATGGGTTTCTTGGGGTGTCTATGTGTAATAATGCCCTCGATGTAAACTTTGATGCCTCAGTGGCAGATGTTGCGCTGGCACGGTTGGTGCAGGAAGGAGTTGCGGGTGTGGGTTGTGCGCCGTTGGACCTGTTCACGCACAAGGTTTTGGCGCTGTATGCGATTGCGTGCCAGGTGCCGACGCTCAGTGCGGGCCTTGGCCCTCTGGACCCTGGAGACCTGGGTGACTTTAGCTAGGGCACCTGCCTGTGCGGCCGCTCCTCGGGTCACCCGTGTGGTCATGCTGCTCCTGGTCACAGCGGGCACTGCTGATTCAGACATCCTGCTGGAAGAATGGGAAACATTTGAGTGAGAATGGAAATAATGGTGTGAAACTGGAACGTGAAAAGTAGTAAGATGGAAATCAGAATTAAAGACAGCGGCCTTCCAGTTTTTGATATTCAGCATGATTTTTATTTGATGTAAGTCAGGGGTGTCCAGTCCTGCTCCTGTAGCTCCAACTCGCTCCAACTTGCCCCAACACACCTGCCTGTAAGTTTCTAGTGATCCTGAAGATCTCGATTAGCTGGTTCAGGTGTGTTAAATTAGGATTGGAGCTAAAGTCTGCAGGACAGGATTAGACACCCCTGGTGTAAGTGCTAACATATCCTACAATATTAATCTTATACAGTTGTTAAATACATTTGGTTGCAGATGAGCAAAAATGGCTATCAACAGCCAATCAAATTTCAGGAGCCAATATTTCCAATTAGAAATGTCTGATCTTTATGATAGTAAGAATATAAGTGTAGGGCATTTTTAAGAGGCGGTGTACCAAATTTTGTAAAAAAAAAAAATCATCCAGCAGGTGGAATTATAATACGCAAATTTCTTGTAGAATAAGTAGGCCAGGGCTGTGCAATTCTGGCCATTGAGATTCACTGTCCTGCAGAGTTTAGCTCCGATCAAATTAACCTGTCAGTAGCTTTTTTGGTAATCCTGAAGACCTTGATTATCTGGTTCAGGTCTGATTAGGTAGGGAGCTAAACCAGGGATGGGCCACTTCGATCCTGGAGCTCTGCAGAGTGAGCTCCAACCCTAATCAAGCACATCTGAACCAGATGATCAAGGTCTTCGGGATTAATAGAAGGCTACAGGCAGGCAAGTTTTTATCAGGGTTGGAGCTCAACTCTGCAGGACAGAACCATTTAAGGGGGAGGGAGTACTCTGGGTTCGGCCCTACCCCCCTAAATGGTTAGGACTAGAAGAGTGGAGAAGGGGTGGTGGAGGCCCGGATGTTGCAAAACTGTCAATGGATTGAGGTGAGACTGCTGAATCTATATACACCTCTTCTCATTGATTGCTGAGTGCTCTCCACCCGTGTTAATTATCTGAACGTGCATCTCCCGAAGTTTGTTAATAAAACATAATTTGTTGCTTTCAGTTAACAGAATTACTTTATGCTGGAAACGTGTTGCGTTGCACCTGGTTACCTCTTGTTTTAATTTTCTGTGCATTTCTCCTCTGCTGTAGTTTGTTTTCTAATCTAGCTTTCTAATAAACCTGGAATTTATTTACTACAAACATTGTCGGCTCTGTGACGAATTGCTGATATTCCTCTATAGCAGGGGTCTCCAACCCTACTCCTAAAAAGCTACCTACCTACAGACTTCAGATCCAAAACACCTGGCCTGTAATTTTCAGCTAACCCTGAACACCTTGATTAGCTGGTTCAGGTGTGTTTTACTGGGGTTGGAGCTGAACCCTGAAGCTGAGGCGGTAGATCTCCATGGGCAGGGTTAGAGACCTATGCTCTATTGTAAGTCAGATAAAAGAGTATGTTAACCTGTCCTGGAGGCCCCCAAGCACTTATGCCTCATCTAACACACCTGATTTAACTCATCAGCTTATTAGTACAGACTGCAAGAACTGAATTAGGTGTCTGATAAGGGAGACATACAAAATATGCAGTGCTGGGGGACAGGTTTGAAAACCAATAATGCATAAATGTAAATGTTGCATGTGTAAAACTTGCATGTTGCATGTGTAAAACTTCGCTAACTGTGGAAGTGAAATTTACCTAACACTGCCGGCCAGGCTGGTGGTGCTCTCTTCCATCGGAGGGAGAGGTCCAGCCGAGACATACACGGACATGCTGGGGTGCTCGATGAGGAGGTCCTCCATGGGACTAGCCTCCGCCGTGGCTCCCTCTGCAGTAAAACAGGGGGGAGGGGTGACAAACCAGCTCTCATCCATGCTGCAGTCACTACAGGAGCTCGAGCCCCGCTCGCTTAACAACACATTCACTTCTACTGACTCAAGGTGAGAGAAGGAGGCGGGATCAGGAGGAGAGCAGATGGAAGGGGAGGAAGGATGTGCTGCCTCTCTCCTGCCTGCTCTAGTCCTACGTTTTTTGCAGGTATGAGGAGAGGGGCCACATATCTGAGATGCATGACATTCACTGCGGGGACAGGGGCGTGCTACTGATGCTGCCTCTGGCCCATCCTCGCCTTAAGTGAAGTAGGAAGAGATAGAAGACAGAACAGGGTGTATTTCCAGAATGTGAAAGGTTTGGTTGAAGCCATGCGAATGGGGGATGCCAGTACCATGAGCACACATACCAGTAAAAGGAATTCATTCAAATATGGAGAAAAGAGAAGGGATACAGAAACAACAGAAAAACATAGAGAATAGGAATACTGTCATTAGTTTCTTATAACCCTTTTAAAATATTGCTATTCTCTAATCCCCATGTACTACTTTATAAAATCTCAATGACTTTGTTCTAAAGCCTAGCCTCAACACTGTCTCAACTTATGGCGATACTTGGGGTTGGAATATTGGGAATAATGGCAAATTGGGGAAATTGGCAAAGAAATTTCACACTTCACCATACTTATGTTTTGTGGGCGTGACAAACCTCAGAGCTCAAGGGGGCGATAAAGTTATCTTTGAATGACTGTTTATTAAACCAGACCATTATTATTCAGGTAGTTATAAACATGTAGGGCTGTCGTGGTGAAGGAATTTCTCTTGCAGTGATTTTGAGTGGCTCAACTTTGCGATATTTAATATTATTCGCTTTTATGTACATATATTGTTCCCCTCTGTTAAAATCACGTTCCGGGGCGGGGGCAGGTTTGGGGGTGGTGTTCCCCTCGATTGAAATTGCATTCCATGGGGTGGGGGGAGAATCGTCACCACCTTTCTCGCCTCTAGTGACACCTACTTCTTTCGGCGAGATTCTAGAGTGCACATTCTATAAGCACTTTACTATCCTGTGAAGCAGGAGAGGATTTGTGAATGGCAATTAAACAACACAAACAGGGTTGCCAGGTTTGCGTAAGAAAACCAAACCCGCCCATCACGGCCAAAAATAGCTCCATTGCGTTCTGGGGGCTAAAAAGCGAGTTCCTTAGGGTGAAGTGGGGAGGGGATCCCCAGTAAAAATTATGTTCGGGGGTTGAAAAGCGAGTTCCTTGGGGTGAAGCGGAAAGGGGATTCCCAGTAAAAATCATGTTCGGGGGTTGAAAAACGAGTTCCTTGGGGTGAAGCGGGGAGGGGATCCCCAGTAAAAATCACGTTCCGGAGGGTAAAAAGTGAGTTCCTTGGGGTGAAGCGGGGAGGGGATCCCCAGTAAAAATCATGTTCAGGGGTTGAAAAACGAGTTCCTTGGGGTGAAGCGGGGAGGGGATCCCCAGTAAAAATCATGTTCAGGGGCTAAAAAGCGAGTTCCTTGGGGTGAAGCGGGGAGGGGATCCCCAGTAAAAATCACGTTCCGGAGGGTAAAAAGTGAGTTCCTTGGGGTGAAGCGGGGAGGGGATCCCCAGTAAAAATCACATTCCGGAGGGTAAAAAGTGGGTTCCTTTGGGGGAGGGGCTCCCCAGTAAAAATCAAATCAAGTTTCGGAGGATAAAAAGCAACTTCCTTGTGGTGAGGGGCTCCCCAGTACAAATCACGTCCGTGTGGGGGCTAAAAATCACGTTGGGAGGGGTAAAAAGTGAATTCCTTTGGGGAAGGGCTGCCCAGTAAAAATCAAATCAAGTTTCGGAGGATAAAAGTGAGTTCCTTGGGGTGAGGCGGGGATGGGCTCCACAGTAAAAATCACGTTGGGAGGGGTAAAAAGTGAGTTCCTTTGGGGAAGGGCTCCCCAGGGGGGAGGGGCTCCCCAGTAAAAATCAAATCAGGTTTCGGAGGATAAAAAGCAACTTCCTTGTGGTGAGGGGCTCCCCAGTAAAAATCACGGTCCGGGGGGGTAAAAAGTGAGTTCCTTGGGGTGAGGGAGAAGGGGATTCCCGGTAAAAAGCAAGTTCCGGGGTGGGAAGGGGGGTGTCTGGCACAATCCGGAACTCGACACACAAAATTGAGCTCATGTAGCTAGAAGTATTTATGTTAAGATACTCAAGTAAAGTATGTTCACGTCTTTAGCTTAGCAACATGCTAATGTCAAACGCTATTGACAATTCTTGAGCGTTTTGTGTGAAAAAGTGTTCCATGGTGGTTATGATAATGATGTCTTCGAAGATAATCGCCTATATAGACAGTAAATACTGAGGCAGTTCACTAGGTTTTGGAACCAAGCCAACGTTTTCCGAATTCATATAGATTAATCCCCCAATATACAATAGCATTTTGCCTTGTTACCCCAACATACTCTGAAGCTACCTTAATAAATTTAGGTCCCATTAAAGACAGTGTTTTTCGTTGTTTGTGTAGGACACTCACCGGGCAGATTGACCAGGAGCCATCCCTCTTCATCAGCCTCAGTCACACAGGGCTTTGGTCCCTTTAGTTCTGGAGTACCTTCTTCCTCGCTCCCAAAGATCAGACTGCTGAGCCGCTGGAACATGGCTGCCTCGGAGGTCAAAGGTCACAGGTTTGTGTTTCCTGAGGGATAGCTGCCTTAGAAATTTTTGTTTTGTTTTATTAACTATAGTGACTGTTTTTTTTTTTTTTCAGTGATGTGACGGATGGCTGGTCGATCACAGACGTATTGGCCTTTTTTTGTAGTCTCAGAGAAGGCGCAGTGCAATATAAGGTCTCACTTGGTTGTTGTGGTGCAAAGATCTACATTTGACAAAGACAGAAAAAAGAACAGGAGGGATAGTCAAGAAAACCATATCATGAAATATTTTTCAGGGTTTATGAAGGTAAATTTAAGACTTTTTAAAGACCTTTTTTAAGTACACATCAAGTAAAGAAAACGTAAGGAATAATTGAAGGGAACACAATACATCAATAGAGTCAAGAGTTTGAAAATACAACTTTCAGATATCCGTTTTAATTCATTTAACAAAGAAGTAGCTTGAATCACTCTGCTCCCAACCACTAGAATGGAAATATATTTTACTGTCTTCTCTAAACACACTGCACAAAAATGATGTTCTCCCTCTGTATATTTGTCTTGTCCTCCAGTGCAAATGTCTAAAGATTCTTAAATCAAAGATGCATTTACTGGAGATCCATAAAATATGAAGTCTTGTTTTCTGTGAAATTGATCAAAATTAAGTTTATGATTAAACGAATAACAAATATCTGCCAATGGGATCAGGAAAAAAAATAATTCAAAGGGAAGTTTACATAATTCATTGATAGATTCATTTGTTCTTGTTGAATTTTTCAAGAGTTCATTTGCATCTCAAGTAAATGTATTTTGAGATTTAAAGATGTTTAGATGTTTGGAAAACAGGACAACATTACTAAGGAAGATTTTGTTGCAACGTATGCAACCTTTAATGCCATGACTTTATGAATTTCAGATGGTCTCTGATTTATGACCTTTGAGGCCTCAATTTGTGTAAGAGCGAATTAAGACTTTTTAAGGCACTTTTTAGACCCACAAAAACCCTGTTTTTGGAGTAACATTTCATAGAAATAACATTTAACAATCTGTTTAACGTCAAACTTGGTGGCACTACGAGTATTTATATTATGCAACTGTTTAATGCGATAATGTGATCTATGAATAAAGTATAAATAATCTATAAATTAATTACATAGCGATATTTTTTTATAAAAAATACAAACACTGTAATTTTCATAATTGTAAAAAATCATAATCGTCCTATACGCTGCATTCTTTATGCAAAATTAAAAGTCATCTTTTTTTCTCCAATTTTGGATTAAAATGTTTGACCAGAACTTTTCAATATGACCGGAATGTGAAGATGAAATATGAACAGTACCTGTTCTTGACAGTTTGCAGGCCAGAATATTATCATAATATTATTTGCACAATTCTCTGCCTGTCTGTTCATCAACATCTGTTTACATACCATATGACTCATTAATCAGCTAAATTAAAATGAATAGAATTTAAAACCATTAGAGAGAGATTTAAAATCACATCAACTATTCATACATTTACAAGCTTATCTAATGTTCATTTATGCACATTAGAAGTTATCTTTGAGGTGATGATGAGTTTATATCCATTCTTATAATGTTCTTGTGTTAAATAATTAAATAGATAAACAGTTTATTCCAATGTCATAACCATATAATCTTATTTTTAATTCACTGTGACTGAACTGTATTCATTTTAATTTCAGTCCCAATGGCTCCCCTACAGGCAGGCAGTGTCAATCAGTGAGTCAGTGGGCGGGGCTTCAGATGACTGATGATGCTGACGCCATAGACGCAACAGACCCCGCCCTCTTCAGACTAGCGGACAGAGGCCGCAACAACAGAAGAGAAGCAGGTTCGTTTTGATAGAAACAAGAAAAAAAGCAGGGTATACAAGGTATACAACAAGGTATAAAAATAGTATTTTTTTCGTCTTTTAGGACAAATTTAATGTGTACATCAAACATAATGCGTTGATTAATAATAAAAAAGGTTTTAGCGTACGTCTGACATGCAGCTTGAAAGAGAGAGAGAGAGAGAGAGAGAGAGAGAGAGAGAGAGAGAGAGAGAGAGAGAGAGGCTGAGCGCAAAGGGTCAAAGCAATGACAGCTCGGATCAAGGGTATTACCAGCGCTCTCAAATCACTCAAATAACCAGACTGTAACGTATATATAAACCCGAAAAATCACACTCTATTCAATAATACAGCTGGTTTAATCAAAAACCGACGGTCGATAAACGGGCAATGTTGCTAAATATACAGGTTTGTCCCTTACGCAAAATGCCAAAAGTTACATCCATTGGCATTCAACGTCGACTTGAAAACACAATTTTGGCATTAATGTTATTTTTTAAGACGGATTCTGTGAGAAAAGAAATCAGAAAAACGTCGAGAAAACTGGCTTCGGTCAACGGCTGCGATCTATGACGAGAGCAAAACAGTGACGATGATGTATGATAGAAATGAGAGCGCGCGCGTAATAACGGAAAACAGAATAAAAATACTGTTCAAACAGATCCGTTTATGGGCAATCTATGGTTTCTGGACAGCTGTTGTGTCATCGCTGGCGTTCAAAGCAGGTCAGATCTAGAGCAGTTTTAACAGACCGACTCAATTCTGCTGCAAAACAGATCTCGCTTTAAAAAGACAGAAGGAGATATGTATATTGAGCGTCTTACCTGTCTTACCTGCAAAATTATTCAAGTTGTAAACGCGACGACCACACAATAAAAAAAACACAAAAAAATCTTAAAGCATAGCTTTAGGTATACTTTTTATATGAGGTAGTAAATTCACAAGAAAAATATGAAAAAAGTCTTTCTTCTTAGAAGAAATCGACGTGTAAGTTCTGCGTTACACGACGTTTGAGCCGCAGTATCTGCAAGCTGTGTGTGTTTTTCGGCAGATATGGTTTGGGATGTTATTGCTTCGCCCAGCTGATCCGCAGATCAGAATACAGAGCGTACAAAACAGCTGATGGTGACGTCACGGCGCTCGTAGCAACGGCCCTGACTCCGCCCACCCCGGGCGCTGGACCAATCACAGATTTACACCAGATCTAGAGCTGTGAGGAACGGTGGGTGTTGGGCTGATAGTCTTATCCATAGAAATATATATAGATGCCTCATAGACCTCATTCAGTCAGTGCCATGACAGTGAGGCTGTGTTTCCAAAGGCATCTGCTGCCTATAAAGCTCCTAGATCACTTATAACACAGCTTATACTGTCTGTTTTTTTTTGTTTTGTTTTTGTCTACTGGAACTTCTTGGAAAGATATTTTTGCAGTGTTTCGTCAGCAGAACAATCCAAAAACACATTATATAACAGTACAACCCACTGAAGAGATATATGCCTCACAGCATCACTTTCATTCAAGTTAAAAATAAAAGATGGTGCAGCTGAGAATAAGGTCATTAGCGTCTGTTTCTATGGGCCGCTGTATGTAAGCCGTCCGCCATATTGGAACGGTCAAATCCGGTCCGTGAACGTTCAAGAGCAAGTTGACAGCGTCTGCAACTGTAGTTAGACGCAGGAATATCATCCGCAATAGACTTCAGCAATTGATTTAGCTAAACTAACACAACACAGCAAAATGAAGGCATTAAAAAGTTACCATTCTAAAAATAAAAACATTTAAAAGTACTATTTTAAAATCCTGAAATATTGAGTTAATATTTATAAAAACATGGCACGCTGACTGTTCCAAGATGGCTGACGCGCTGGCGTGTCAGCAACGTTCGAATGTGGCATCTACGTATACATTTCTATGGTCTTATCATCTATCCTTTGCAAGTGATCCCTCAGTGGATCTAACGGGTGGAGGGATCGAGTCATGGGTCGGGATAGGGGGTGGTCGGACCTTTACGCTCCACCCATGACCTCCAGAGAGGGGGAGCTGGATGTCATTTGGCTCTGCAGTGAACAGCCTCTCATTCCTTGTCCCTTTTAAAATCACATACAATCAGCGTTAAGATGACAGCATTTGAATGGTTTTGTTTGTATCAACAGGTGTTGTTTATTTAGAAAAGTTGTAAATTAAATGATCAAAATGTAAAGTTAGAATTTCATGACTATGGAAGATTTGGAAATAAAGGCCAAGCAATCTGTGGTTAAAGATATAAAGTGTTGATGTCACAGTAACTCCTTCTGGTTTCCATTGGCACCAGTTTGAAACGTCCTGTCCCGGGGCTTTGTTTGGATGAGCTGCATATACCCAGCTGGTCCTACAGGTAATATGATCAGCAGCTCAGAGGTCGTGTTTTGTGAGCTCTGTCTCTTTAAACAGTGTTTGTAAATATTGCCTGCCCCTCCCTCTCCACATTCCTCCATTCCCTCTCACAGTGGGGGCGGGGCTTAGACTGCCACGTGTCACCAGTGACCAATCACAACGCACGGTCTGAACACTGATATGATGTCAGCAGCCTGTGGAGGACTACGGATATAAAGACCTTGATGGTTGACTGGCGTTTTTAAGCGTCAGGATCTTCAGATAATAACTCAAGTGTAGTTCCCTGTAATTCGGATTGTTTTCATCTGCATATTTGCTCTTATTATAGCAGATATATAATAATTTTGCATGGTGTTTACACAGTTTTGTTTACACAATTTGAGCAATAACAACATTTTGATTGCATGCGATTTAGGATTGTACATATAATAAATAAAATATATATGTATTTTGGATTGCTGTTTTTGATTTGGCTCAAAAATCCTCGCAGTAGAATTTAAATAGTAACAGTTTATAGCCTATATAGGTTACAAATGATGTTATAGAAAAAGATGTTGCAACATCAATCACTATTTGTAGATGTGCTCATATTAATACGACCAGACATCGGTTGTTGCTGCCAGTCTTCCACACATTCCAGTGATTCTTCATTTAGTAAAAGCAAGTGAACACAGCCACATATTATAATAACCATACAGGCATTTCCACAGCCAGGGATGCTAGAGAGGATCCTATAGTGTGTGTGTGATCTTCTCATAACTCCCCCGTTCACCTGCTGACTGGACTCACACACCCTGGATGAGGTTGTCGTTACTAATAAAATAATAACAATAAATATGGACATGATCCTTGATAAAATTGCTGAAACAGTTTTGTAATAATAATAAA